AACTGAACGGGTTCTGATGAGAACAGTGTAAGCGTTCAAGCAAACCACTTCTGAAGATGCAAGCCACTCGTGCTTGCGAAACGTCCAGAAGAAATTCCAGCGAACGACGACCTAAAAACCCGAAAAACCCATTAGTGTCAAGGAATGACCTCGAAAGTCCTTCTCTTTGGAATTTCTAATGTTTAGGGGCGCCAAATTCGCCAAATCCCAATCAAATAACCGAGTTTTACTACTTTGCTGGCTCGGGTTTGGTCGCCCTCCTTCCATCTGCGGAGGAAAATTAACACAAAAATTGAAAAAAATCAACTGTCGCCCAAGTAGTGAAACTCGGGGCTGTTTGGGGAGCAAATTTTGGCAACGTTTCCTGCTAAGGCTTTAGTCGCCAAGCCAGAGGCACCCAAACCCAGATTTGAGGCATTTTTTCCTGGCTCATCAAAAAAAACTCATACCGTTTGAACCACTTCTTCTTCCAAAGGGTGTTGTGCGCTGAAGTAGCCGCACAAGAAAAATGACTTGACATCACTTGTCACCAGTCATTTGACAAGTGACGCACGTCAATCAGACACAACCTGTCCACATTCGGGGGTAAAAAACGGCCTCAAGCAGCACTGGGACTGCGATTTTCCAATCAGTAATGTGGGCCAATAAAGGGCGAAAAAATGGGCACAGTTTGGACGAAAAAAAGTTCTCCAAAAGTGCCCTTGTTAGTTAGAATGCATGCGCGACTTGGTCGCATGCACACCGGCACTAAACCACCCTGTGTGCATTTTCAGCCGATGGATGGTGGCCGGAAAGGCGGACCCGGAAATGCCGAAACGGATGTACATCCACCCCGATTCGCCATCTACCGGCGAGCAGTGGATGCAGAAAGTGGTCAGTTTCCACAAGCTGAAGCTGACCAACAACATCTCGGACAAGCACGGCTTTGTAAGTATTTATTCCCATTTTCACACTACTGTCTGGTGTACAGGGTGGTCCGATGGGAACTGGAAATGCATGGGTGAATCGATCGGTTCGAACCAACGACATTAATAAATAGACCAAGCTAGTCATTCATAAATCCCGA